TAATACTCAGTTTCTCAAACAAGTGTATGCCTGTCTGTTGGTCCACTTAGGAGTCTTGATCCTGGTTGTGTCGTGGTTTGGTGTAGTGGTTAAGTGTGCGGACTCTAATCTGGGAGAACCAGGTTTGGTTCCCCACTCCTCCACTTGCACCTGCTGATGTGACCTTGGGTCAGTCACAAGCTCTGGCACAGCCGTTCTTGAAAAAGAGCAGTTTCTATCAGAATTCTCTCAGTCCCACCTACCTCACAGGGTATCTGTTGTGGGAAGGGGAAGGGAAAGGAGTTTGTAAACCGCTCTGAGACTCCCTTGGGTAGTGAAGGGCGGGGTATAAATCCAATCTTTTCTTCTTCTTCTTGTGTGGTGGGCTAGTTGTGGCAAATGGTAGGGAAGCTCAGTATTTCTGTATACAGTTGTAGGGGCTTTATTGCAATGTGGTATGGCCTGATATTATGTTCTTATTCCAGTGTGGGGTGTGTGTGGGGCTTTCTAAGTTTCTAAGCAGTGTACTAAGAAGGCAACTGTTCCTGGGGTTAGCCCAGGCCTCCCTAAATTTCTGGGGAGCCCATCCCTAAATCCCACATGGGTCCACCTCCATAGATAGTGACCATGCCTGTGATGTCACTAGCTCCTCCCTATGATGTCATTGGGTCCCAGTTCTTTTAATGACTTAGCAATGCCTCTGGCCCAGCCCCAGCCCCCCCCGGGAAATTGGAAAGTCTACGCCCTTGCCTCTTCCTCTCTCCCAACATTGCACAGTAAGTCATACCCGGAAGAGCACCCGGTTGAGCAGGCCCAGTGGGTACAAACATTTTAGACCACCAGTGTCATAAAAATAGCTGTCGAACGGTAGCATTAAAAATACTACTCTGGTCCAATGCTCCCTCTAAGCTGCGGAGTCTTGTGAGCAGTGTTCCCTCTAAGCTGAGTTAGAGTGAGCTAGCTCACAGTTTTTCAGCCTCTGGCTCACACACTCTTGTCTCAGCTCAGGAAGGATGGCTCCAGAGCAAACTAATTGACGCAGTAGCCAAATTGCTCACTCACAGCATTAATGCCAGTAGCTCATAAAGTAGAACTTTTGGCTCACAAGCAACATTCCCTCTAAGCTGGGGGTGTCTTGTGAGCAAAAATTCTACTTTGTGAGCTACCGGCATTAAAGTTGTGAGCGAGCGATCTGGCTACTGCATGAATCAGTTTGCTCTGGAGCCCTCCTTCCTGAGCTAAGACAAAAATGTGTGAGCCGGAGGCTAAAAATCTGTGAGCTAGCTCACACTAACTCAGCTTAGAGGGAACACTGCTCACAAGACTCCGCAGCTTAGAGGGAGCATTGGACCAGAGTAGTATTTTTAATGCTACCGTTCGACAGCTATTTTTATGACAGTATATGCTTTCAGTGATGCCATTTGGGGGAGGGGGGGAATCACACACTGCCTCAAGCCAAGATATAAATATTGTAAATCTTAAATAAGTGAAGAAACTTTGTGTAGAAGGGGGGCTTGCCATCTGCTAGAGCTTGACTGCGCATCACAGAAACCACCGAGAGGTTCAGTGAAAAGGGGGGGGATGTGTGTGGCCGCCTGCGGAAGCTTCTGCAGCACCAGCAGGCTCCGGTGACATTGTTGGGCAGCGATTGTTAAACAGATGCAATACAAACACCCCTCACCTTCTCGTTGTTGTAATAAGAAATGCTGTCGCCGTCAAACTTCACCCATCGCTTCTGAAACATGTGTTTTCTGCACGCAAATAAAGAAAACCAAGGAAAACAACAACAACAACAACAACAACAACAACAAATCTTTAGATGATATTGACTTATGATTTCAGTTTATTTTTTATTTATTTAGACTTATTTCTATCCCATTTTTCTGCCCACAGGGGACCGAAAGCAGCTTACAACATCAATCTCCCCACCTATGAGAGCCAGTTACAAGAGCCAGTTTGGTGTCGTGGTTAGGAGCTCGAACTCTAATCTGGAAGAACTGAGTTTGATTCCCCACTCCTCTGCATGCGGCTGTTGGTATGATCTTGAGTCAGTCAAAGTTCTCTGAGAGCTGTTCTCTCAAGAGCAGTCCTCGAAAGAGCTCTCTCAGCCTCACCTACCTCACAGGGTGTCTGCTGTAGGGAGGCCATGCTGCCATTCTGAGACTCCTTTGGGTAGTGAAGCGCCGGGTATAAATCCAATCTCCTCCTCCTCCTATATTTTATCTTCACAGCAACTGGTCAAGATCATACAGCAAGCTTCTGTGGAAGGGAGTGGATTTGAACCCGGGTCTCCCAGATCGTAGCCTAGCCACTATTCTGCATTAGCTCACTTTTTGTGCCTCAAGACAAATAATCAAACCAGCCATTGGGGGTTTCTATCCATGGGAGGGCCCATGACCAGTGTTCCCTTTAAGCTGAGTTAGTGTGAGCTAGCACACAGTTTTCTAGCCTCCGGCTCACACATTTTTGTCTTAGCTCAGGAAGGACGGCTCCAGAGCAAACTAATGTATGTAGCACCCAAATCGCTCGCTCACAACTTTAATGCCAGTAGTTCACAAAGTAGAATTTTTGCTCATAAGACTCCACAGCTTAGAGGGAACATTGCCCGTGACTCAGAGGTAGATTATGCCATGCCCACAGAAGGTCCCAGGTCCACTCCTCAGCATCTCCAGTAAGCGGATCTCAGGTAAGGAAAAATGCTAACAGACCAAGGCTTGACAACCCCGGAAACATCAAACCACTTTACCCAGCCTGCCTGGCCAGTTGGCTGCCCACAGCACCAAAGTGAGCCCATGTCTGCCTCTCCCGTGACGACCCGCCATGGTGCTCGTGTTCCATTTCCCATGGTCTTCTGGTGGTGCCTGGCTCTCGGGTAGCTCACTTAACTTTGACCTGAACAAGGGCGTTTCCGATCATGGACCCAACCTGGTGGAACGCTCTGTCTGAAGAGATTCATGCCCCGCAGGACCTGTCTGGCTTCCACGGGGCCTGCAAGACTGAATTACTCCTCCAGGCATTCCAATGAGGCAGTCTTACTGGGTCTACGATCAGCTTCGCTCATCATCATGCCAGAGTGCCAGTGTGTTATTGTTTTTTTACAGAAGATTTGTTTTATAGAATATTTGGATTTATTGTTTTGTATTTATGTTGCTAACCACCTCAAACCCCGATCGCTGGGGAGGGGAGAGGATAAAAAGCAAACTAAATAAATAAATAAGGTTCCAGCAGTGCTGCTAAAACTGAGAGCAGTTTCTCTCAGAGCTTTCTCAGCCCCACTGACCTCACAGGGTGTCTGTTGTGGGGAGGGGAAGGGAGTTTGTAAGCCACTCTGAGACTCTGAGTGAAGGGCGGGGTATAAATCCAATCTCCTCCTCCTCCTCCTCCTCCTCCTCCTCTTAAAAAAACCCTCATCTTCCCACACGCACACTTTGGTTTTCAACATCTTCACAGGTAGACATGGGAGGGGCAATTGGCACTCTGTCCAGAAAGGCCACCTCTATTTCCTTAATTTTCTTTTTGGAAAACCTTCATGTGTTACATCCATCCCTTCTAGTTACTCGATTCAGTTTGTTCTTGCTGTGAGAAGCAAGTGTCCATCTGGACAATTATAACTAGGTAATCCTGCTGTCTAAGGTTGCCAGCCTCCAGGTGGTGGCTGGAGATCTCGAAGGACAACAACTGATCTCCAGGCAACAGAGAAAAGTTTACCTGGAGAAAATGGCTACTTTGGAAGGTAGACTCTATGGCACTATACCTCCACTGAAGTCCCTCCCGTCCCCAAACACTGCCCTTCTCAGTCTCTCCCCCCAAAATCTCGAGTTATTTCTCAACCCAGGGCTGGCAACCCTAAAACTATCTCAACTGTTTAATCTTGCAACTCCTCCCCATCTCCATTTCTTTCTTTTTTTAAAAAAAGAGAAAAAGTACAGACTTTGAGGATTTCTACCAAACTCTGCATCCTTCCCTCTTCCCATTCCCCCCTGTTTTCTTTGTAGGTAGCATCTAGCCTGACGATGAATACAGAGGCAGTCAAAAACTGTAGATGTAGGGGAGAGCAGGAAGCTGCAGGACATTGGGCTTCCAAACAGTCCCACTTCTTGGCCATTTCCTTTTCATACGAATGGGCAGACCCATGTAAATACATGGATTTTCCCCTGCCCCTGATCACATCTGAACGTTAGCCTCTCTTTTTTTTAGTTACTTAGATTGTCTCATTTTCCACTGCCGGGGCTCACAGAAGAAGAAGGGAAGAGGAGACCGGATTTATACTCCGCCTTTCACTACCCAAAGGAGTCTCAGAGCGGCTTACAAACTCCTTTCCCTTCCCCTCCCCACAACAGACACCCTGTGAGGTAGGTGGGGCTGAGAGAGCTCTGACAGAAACTGCTCTTTTTTCAAGGACAGCTCTTATCAGAACTACAGCTTGCCCAAGGTCATCCAGCCAGGTGCAAGTGGAGGAGTGGGGAATCAAACCCGGTTCTCCCAGATTAGAGTCCACGCACTTAACCACTACACCAAAGTGAGGGGGATGCCCAGCGTCTCGGGCTCTGGAGCAGAGGCAGCCTTGCACTCGGGGAATTTACCTGCCAGCAGAACACAGCCACAGTTTCCTCCAACTGGAGAAGAGGAGGTTGAAGGGGGGGGACATGATTGCTCTCTTAAAGTATTTGAAGAACTGTCACTTGGAGGAGGGCAGGGAGCTGTTCTTGCTGGCAGCAGAGAACAGGACTCGCAATAATGGGTTTAAATTAAGGGTAGGAAGGTACCGGCTGGATATCAGGGAAAACTTTTTTAAACGTAAGAGTAGTTCAGCAGTGGAATCAGCTCTGCCTAGGGAGGTGGTGAGCTCCCCCTCACGGGCAGCCTTCAAGCAGCGGATGGACAAACACTTGACAGGGACGCTCTAGGCTGATCCTGCATTGAGCAGGGGGTGGGACTAGAAGGCCTGTATGGCCCCTCCCAACTCTGTGATTCTATTATTCCAACTAAGAAGAGCCAGGCAGGACGAGATATCCTTGCGAGGCAGAGGCCAGCAAGGGTTAAGCTGGGTGCAGAGGATAATGGAGGGAAGGGCTACAAAAAGGAATGAGGGAGTGGAAAGAAATAGGTTCTGGCTCAAGGGGATTGGATGAGGAAAAGCAGGAAGGGGAGGAGCTGGGGCTGGAGAGGGGGATAAAAGGAGAGCCTGTGAAGCTGGCTGGGGAAGAGAAGGAAGGTGCTTGGTTGACAGGGGGCTGAAGACTCCTGCAGGCAGAGAGGTAACCCAGGAAGCAGAGCCTGGGAGACTATTGCCTTTCTGAGGCTGGCTAAGGCTGGAGGGTGCGTAAGCGGGATGGAGCCAGGGAAGAAGCCCACCAGGAGTGCAGTCAGAGGGGAGCTATTTTGACACCTGGGGACAGGCGTAGTGTTTGCCTCTATCCCACCTAAGTTCACAGTGCTGCCAGGATATGCAAACAGGACTTTTGGTCCTATGCCCAGTCAGCACAGAACCAGAGAGAACCGAATAGCCAAGAAAACAGGAGCCACTTCCTGTGCGGAACGAAGGCCCCCATGAACCAATGCACCAATCACAATCTGCAAAATTCTTTTCTGTGGCAAGGTCAGCTTTCACTCTGTCCCTGGCAGTCATGTATCTATCTAGTCACTCTCTTGTGTGATTCTTCGTCCTCCCTATGAACAGCCTGAGTTCTAATCCAGACAGCCAGGTACCAGAAGAATGGTCAGATTGAAAGATTTATAACAGATTGCATTTTTAAAAAATCAATTAGCTATATAATAATGAGTATATTACCAGGTAGAACATTATCGTTTTCAGTTTAGTTTTGGATCGTCAACAGAATCTGAATGGGCATCCATGTTCTCTTCTTGAGACCTTGGAGAGCTGCTATTGGTTGGAATAACAGACAGCATTGAACTGGATGAACCAAGGGTCTCTCACGTGAACACACACTAAGCTGCTTTATATTGAATCAGACTGCTGGTCCATCGAAGTCAGTATTGTCTATTCAGATTGGCAGTGTCTCTCCAAGGCCTCAAGTAAGGGTCTTTCACACCACCTCATACCTGATCCTTTTGGCTGGAAATGATGGGAATTGAACCTGGGACCTTCTGAAGGCAAAGCAGATGCTCTGCCACTGAATTACACCCCCTCCCCAATTCCTTTGAAGTCACAGTAAGCAACTTTACACTTTTCAAAGTTCATGACAACGTACCCCTGTGGTGACAGCTTGTCCAGCCATCCTTCTTTAACCTTCTTCATTGATGATCCATAAAAACAGGCATAGGGAGTTATTGAGTCTCTGGGACTAGGCACTGGGACATCAGCAAACCCATCGATAACACCACCAGATTGGGTAGAGGAAATGTGCAGAACTGCCGTGAAGTCCAGAGTCCCAGTTTTTAACTCTTTGTTGGTTTTGGATGGTTTATATTTTCCCCTTCGTGCATACCGAGCACAATCTTTGACTGTAGAATATTCGGGCTCACCAGCAAATTTGTTCGGCAATGCATATTTATCCTCAACAGGTACCAATTTGCTGTCTACTATTTCTTCGTTGATTTTCCATATTAGAGGAGTGCTGGAATCAGACAAAAGGTAATATTTCTTCAATCAATTGCATTGCTTACCCATCAGTTGCATCGCAACTGCAAACAACTGCATATCTAGCCAAAACCTCACATCTATTCCATAACACAGTAAGGCTGTATAACCAAATGAGATCCACCATTTAAACATTTGTTTAACATTCACAAAATACTACTCAATTCAATTTATGCAAAATCCAGCTACAGTACTGCTTAATGTCAAATGACTATACACTAAATTGCCCCCTTTAACTTAATGCCTAGTAAAGATCTGTAACGACCAAGCCATAGTTAAATTCAGATTTACAAATATTACGGAAGTAGCCACCACCATTCTACAGAAATTGCATCTTAATTTAATTACTACGCACAAGAGAATTACTGTAGTAAGTTTAGGTTTTTACTAAGAGGAAAACTATCCATTCAAGAAATTTATCCAACCAAAAAGCTGCATTACACTTTTCCTCAACAGAGTGTTTTCCGGGGGGGGGGGGGTTTGTGGTTTGTTTTCATCAAGTTGCAGCTGACTTATGGTAACCCCATAGAGTTTTCAAGGCAAGGGACATTCAGAGGTGGTTTGCCATTGCCTGCCTCTGTGTTGCGACCCTTGTGTTCCTTGGTAGTCTCACATCCAAATACTAACCAGGACCAGGGCTATTTCTGGGCAGGAATGCACAGGAACGGAGTTCCGGCTGGCTCCCGAGTTGGCCACGCCCAGCAAGAACTCATTAGCATAATAGGCCACACCCAACAGCAGAAACTCATTCGGATTGGCTACTTTAGGGGTGTGTGGCCTAACATGCAAAGGAGTTCCTGCTACAAAAAAAGCCCTGGGTTTTGACAACAAACAAGGTAAACAGAATAAGAAGCAAAAGGTGGGTGTGGCTGGATGAGCACACTTCTGGCAATGTGGGGGTGTGGCCTAATATGCTAATGAGCTGCTCTCTCAGGGGTGTGCCCTAATATGCTAATGAGTTTCTGCTGTTTGGTATGGCCTATTATGCTAATGAGTTCCTGCTGGACATTTTCTACAAAAAAAGCACTGACCAGGACTGACCCTTAGCTTCTGAGATCTGACGAGATCAGGCTAGACTGGGCTATCCAGGTCAGGACTGTGTTTTCTGTTCTCATATCTAAAGAAAGTGTGTATTGCCCTCTGTTTGTAACCAAATAGAATGAAAACTGCTTCTGTGACAGAATACAATGCATTTTTCATAGCTAATGTCATGTAGTGGCTAATACACTATAAAGACTTGGCTGTAAACCGAGAAGACCCTGAGTTGAAATCCCAATTTATCCATGAACTCATTAGATGGCCTCCGGCAAGCTACTTTCTCTCTCAGTCTCAGTGGCTTCCTCTGTAAGATGAGGGAAATAATTATGACCTCTCCCAGGGTTGTTGTAAGGATAATAGAGATTAACAGACCGTTCTAAGCAGTTGTACTCAGAATCTGGCTCAAGTCTATTAAATGAGGCTTACTCCCATGAAAATGTCCTTAGGGGCTGCACTAAATGTGCCTAAGGCACTTTGGATATGTGAAACGCACTATACAAATGTTAAAAACTGCTTACCATTTTCAAAAAAAGATCAAAGCAACAGAACTGGTGCCCTCAAGTTTAGCAACTACATAGTATGCAAGTGCTGTAGTGGTAGTTGTCATTTACTAAGAGGAATTTCTTTATTAATTTTTTTTTAAGCAGCTCATTCTGGAATGCCTGTAGTCTGATCTTAAAAAACAGGAGCAATGTTGGATCATTTTATTTTGCCACAGGGTTGCTTTTTTAAAAAAACAAAAATCTTGAAAACATTTAACAGCTGATCATGAAAATATTTATTCAAAAATAAATCTGACCAAGATCAGTGTAAATTATTTGCTACTAAGTGTGCTCAGGAGGATTGCAGCCTTACAAGAAGCAGAGAGAAGACAGAAAAAAGTACTAGTCTCTGCAATGTAAAGATACTAATTTAAAATGCACAACTAGCCCTCAAGGCTGGTCTTTGCATTGCTTTTCCACCTAACCGTTCCATTGTTAAAAATGTGCATCTGGGGCCATTTTACCCATACACACATCATACAAATGCAAATACAAAAATATTGGACTGAAACTCATTGTAATCCTCGGCTGACCGTATCAAGCTGGCGTTTACTACTATCAAGCTACTGATCCGCCTAACACAGAGATCCCTAACATGGTGTCCATGGACAATGCCCAGTTAAAGTGTTTTCTGGAACCCACTTCCTTCTTCCCCAATTCTGACATTTCTCTACATCAATAAAGCAGGACCATCCCTCCCTCCCCCCAAAAAAACAGACCAGAAAAAAAATCATTTTTGGCATTTTTCGGGTATTCAGAAAGCTGAATCAGAATCTCTAATCTGATTCAACTGCCAAGTACAGACTGCCGAATAAAAGCCGAAACAATTTGGTTTCTTTTGGCACTATTCAGCACTGCCAAATACAGGCTCATGGGTTACGTTTTAAAGGGCTGCACTTACCTTCTCTTTCCCACCATTTCTGTCACTTTCCCACCCTTTGCTCTGCTTTCCAGAAGTGAGGGGGAAGATGGACCTTACATACAACCAATCACTGCAGCGCATTTGCAAGTGGCACTGCAGCTTGCAAGGCTGCTGTTGCTGCTGGCTTCAAACTTGAAGCCCAACAACTAGCTTGCTTTCCCAGGGACAGGAGGGGGGGATGAGCACTGGCCAATAGGATTGCAGGTAAGGGTGGGCACACTGCTCTTTGGCCAATTGCAGAAGTTAGTTATTTCTTGAAATTCCTCTGTGTATTGTTGTTGTGATGATTCTGTGCTTAAGTTGACATCAGTCCTCCTGTTGAGCTGGCATTTGCCACAATGGCACTAGGTTCATCTAGTAGCTTGGCACGTTCTGTTGACAGGTAGGTTGGCACTGGGTTCTGCTGCTGGGCACTAGCACTAGAACATTGCACTGCTTCTGCTGCTGGCCTTGCAAACATGCCCCCTATACTTCAGTGATTCTCAGATTTGATCTTAGTTCTGCTGGCTTTTGTCACTGCCACAGTGGCACTGGTTCTGGTGGGCACATTGCACTGGTTCTGCTGCTGGCCTTGCAAATATTCACTCTCACACCACACCTTAGTTTCTACTGCAGAGATTCTCTGGGGGAAACTGCTGGTCTGTGTTTTATCTGCCTGCCTTCGGAAACAACGGAGGATGGAGGCACCCTCTTTGGATGCCCCTAGAATTGGACCCCGTAGTCCAAACTTTTCCAAATGGAGGTTCTTTTGGGGAGAGGCTCCAGCAGCTACAGTACACATTTGCTGCCTCTGCCTCAAACCCCCTTCCCCCAGGCCACTAAATACTCCTTAGAAGATTTTGCCATTGACTACAATGGCCCCATAGGATATAATGGTGCTGAATTTTTTCGGTCTTCCCAAATATTTCTGGATACTAATACATTACAAGTATTGGTATGTGGGTATATTCAGGAATAGTGAAAAAATCAGCTTAACTATATCAGAATCTGAAAAATACCATTTCCCCCCCCTGCACACCCCTACCCAGAAGGCATCACTTTTGTGCCTGCAGGGAGCTCCCATTCAGAACCAGCAGTCTCCATCACAGGAGGATGCTTGGCTTGGAAGCTCCCAATATTCTGTGACTGGTCAAAGGCCCACGGCAGCCATTTTGTGGTGACCCTTAGTCAATGTTCTGAAAATTCCATAAGTACCCACAGGCATAATAAGTTTGGGGACCTCTGATCTAGCTCATCACAACCTCCTATAAATGCCAGTGCCTCTTCTCAGGTCTTCTAAGATGTCAAGGACTGCATTCAGGGTGTTATGCATTGTTCTAAGCAATTACTCTGCTAGTGGTCCATAGCCCCTCTTCTCATACAGCCCATACTTATTTCAAAGGAGAAAGAACTTACAGGAGTAGCAACATCAGTGTCCCTGCACTATCCATTTTACAATATGAGCCACCAACTTTTTTTTTTTTGTTCAGTCGCACAGTCAAGTCCGACTCTTTGCGACCCCATGGACCAGTTCATGCCAGGCCTTCCTGTCTTCTGCCATCCTCTGAAGTTTGCTCAATTTCATGTTCGTTGCATCTATGACACCGTCTAACCATCTCATCCTTTGCCGTCCCCGTCTTCTTTGACCTTCAATCTTTCCCAGCATCAGGGTCTTCTCCAGTGAGTGCTTCCTTCTCATTTGGTGGCCAAAGTATTTGAGCTTCAGTTCACCCCCAACCCAAACTGTGCCACCTCATTTTCTTTTCTCTTGTTCTTCTGCTAGGAGCAGGACAGACCCAACCAGCAGTCAGATCAGGAAGAGAGCAATGGATTTCCCAAATAAAACTGGAAACAAAGGAAGAGATGACTTCCTGGTAGGGTCGCCATTCCCCAGTTAGGGGCGGGGGATCCCCAATTTTTGTGGGCTCCTCCCTGCTGCCGGTCAGCTGGCTGTCAGGAGGAGAAAAACACCCCCCAAAACAGCAACATCATCAGAAATAAACATGGCGTGCCTATGTCACCTGAGAAGGTGTCAGCAGGCACCATGCTGCCCACGGGCAACATATTGGGGACCCCCTACCTAGAGTGTCTTGTAAACACAACACTGGACACACAGAGCTGCTACACACCAAACAATGAAATCCTAAACAGAGTTACACCTTCTAAGCCCAATGACTTCAATTGACTTAGGGTATAACTTTGCTTACTGGGTCACAGGGACTCAGAGGTTAAGACGCTGAGCTGCAGACCGGAAGGTCTGTCATTCAGCATTTGGAGACCCTAGTGCTGCGTGACGGAGTGAGCTCCCGTCTCTGGTCCCAGTTCCTGCCAATCTAGCAGCTAGAAAGCAAGAAATTGCAAGTAGATAAATAGGTACCCTGGAGCTGCGGTAGCTCAAGTGGTTAAGACGCTGAACTGCAGGCTGTGGGAAGTCAGTAGTTCAGCGGTTCGAGACCCGAGTGTGCCGCATGACGGAGTGAGCTCCCGTCTCTAGTTCCAGCTCCTGCCAACCTAACAGTTCGAAAGCAAAAAATTGCAAGTAGATAAATAGGTACCACTTCGGTGGGAAGGTAACAGTGTTCCGTGCGCCTTGGTGTTTAGTCATGCCGGCCACATGACCATGGAAACGTCTTTGGACAGCGCTGGCTCTTCGGCTTGGAAACAGAGATGAGCACCGCAACCCTAGAGTCGGACTCGTTAGCTTTCGAGCAAGGGAACCTTTACCTTTAAATAGGTACCGCTTCGGTGGGAAGGTAACAATGTTCTGTGCGCCTCGGTGTTTAGTCATGCCAGCCACATGACCAAAAATAAGTCTTTGGACAGCACTGGCTCATCGGCTTGGAAACGGAGATGAGCACCGCCCCCTAGAGTCGGATTCAACTAGCTTTCAAGCAAGGGAAACCATTACCTTATAACTTTGCTTAGAACTGCACTGTAACTGTCTTAATTTCATTTTTTATTTTTAAGAAAAAACTATGAAATACCTAAAGGGGGAACTTAAGAAAAGCCTGGATAAGCAATGCATCATTTAGGACCCTGCAACAATTCCCACACAACCACATTCCATTGTTACAGAAATAAATATTTTCACCCAGTACCATGTTTTGTTGGGAGGGGGATCCCTTTCAGCACCTCTCTCATCTCGGTCCTTTTCTTGGAAAGTTGAGAGTTCGTTGTCCCAGATTTCCTGGAAAGAAGGAGTCCAACAGTGAGTTGTGAAATGTATCCTCTGTGAAGCGCCAAACAACTTTACACCCATCACGGTCTTAATCCTGATTCTACCCAGAGTCATGGTCTGTGTAAAGATCTGTGGAAAACAAGCCTCAGAATATTTTTGGCTTGCAAAACAATAGCCTCCACAATTCTTATGCTATACAAAGTTATCAAAATGTAAATTTCTAATCACATCTGATAAAGTAAGGGAATCAGCAAGAAAGTACTCCAAGTCCACATGTGTCACCTTTTTGCAGTCTCTACAACAGCAACAAGACTCTTGAGAGTCCCTTGGACTGCAAGAAGATCAAATCAGTCAATCCTAAAAGAAATCAACCCTGGCTGTTCCCTGGAAGGCCAGATAATGAACCTGAAGCTCAAATACTTTGGCCACCAAATGAGAAGGGAGCACTCACAGGAGAAGACCCTGATGCTGGGAAAGATTGAAGGTCAAAGAAGAAGGGGACGGCAAAGGAGGAGATGGTTAGACAGTGTCATAGATGCAACGAACATGAAATTGAGCAAACTTCAGGGGACGGCGGAAGACCGGAAGGCCTGCCGTGATCTGGTCCATGGGGGCGCGAAGAGTTGGACTCAACTGTGCGACTGAACAACAACACAACAGTCCTGCAAGACGGGCCAGCGTTATTACAGGCAGAGGGCTTTGACTGAGGACAACTTGCTTAAGGCCTCCCACTGAATTCTGACAGAGGTCAAATCTGAATCAGAGACTTGCTGGATCACAAGTCTTTTAACCGCTATGCTACATCCGTTCCCACCTCTTGAGCCAACGGTAAGAACTAGCCCAAGCCAGAGCAGGGCTTCTGCTTCTCAGGAGCTGACAACAGCAGAAGCTAAACCCAAGTATCCAGCAGTGGGAGTAGGACGTCTGCTTGTGGTGTCACGAGGGTGTACAGTAGGCCTGCTCTATAAAACTGAAAGCACACTGCTAACCACAGGAGGAAACGCAAAAGCAAAACTCTGCATTGACTTGCCCACCACCCGGTCTCTGATCAACCCACGGCAACCAAGAGTGGCTAGCCACTCTAAATTTTTCCATTCTTCATTCACACCAGAACAAAGTTCAAGTCCCGTGGAACCTTTGAGACCAGCAAAGTTTTATCCAAGGTATAAGTTCCCGTGTGCTCGCACACTTCTTCGCAAAAGCTCATGCCCTGTCAGCCTTAAAGGTGCCCTGGACTCAAACTTTTGTTCTGCTGCCCCACCTGGATCATTCACACCATAAGAACACAAGAGAACAGAAGAACAGCCTTGCTGGACCACTCCAATGGTCCATCTAATGCAGCATCTGTTTTTCCTCCACAGAGAGGCCAACTAGATGCCCTTGGAAGGCTTATAAACACAGCTTATAAGCATGGGATAAGGACTCCACCGGCCATTCCTACTCCCCTCCCTAAGGTACTGAGAGTCATGCTGGCTCCTGAACATGGAAGCGGCTGTTCAGTCAGGACGCCTAATAGCCACTGAGAGACCTATCATTTAATCCCACTGCAAAGCCTTCTAAGTTAGTGCCCATCACTACATCACATGGCAGAGGATTCCATAACCCAACCGTGCAGTGTGTGAAAAACTTGTTGTTGTTCAGTCGCACAGTCGAGTCCGACTCTTCGCGACCCCATGGACCAGATCACGCCAGGCCCTCCGGTCTTCTGCCGTCCTCTGAAGTTGGCTCAATTTCATGTTCGTTGCATCTATGACACTGTCTAACCATCTCATCCTTTGCCGTCCCTGTCTTCTTTGACCTTCAGTCTTTCCCAGCATCAGGGTCTTCTCCAGTGAGTGCTCCCTTCTCATTGGGTGGCCAAAGTATTTGAGCTTCAGTTTCATTATCTGGCCTTCCAGGGAACAGTCAGAGTTGATTTCTTTTAGGATTGACTATTTGATCTTCTTGCAGTCCAAGGGACTCTCGAGAGTCTTCTCCAGCACCATAGTTCAAAAGAATCTATTTTCGGTGCTCAGCCTTCCTTATAGTCCAACTCTCGCAGCCATACAGTTGTTGTTGTTCAGTCACACAGTCGAGTCCGACTCTTTGCGACCCCATGGACCAGCTCCCGCCAGGCCCTCCTGTCTTAAGCCGTCCTCTGAAGTTTGCTCAACTTCATGTTCATTGCATCTATGACGCTGTCTAACCATCTCATGCTTTGCCGTCCCCGTCTTCTTTGACCTTCAATCTTTCCCAGCATCAGGGTCTTCTCCAGTGAGTGCTCCCTTCTCATTGGGTGGCCAAAGTATTTGAGCTTCAGTTTCATTATCAGGCCTTCCAGGGAATAGTGAAAAACTAGGTGTCCCCAAATTCTAGTGTTTTACCGGAGAGGTCCCTCTGCATACATTTGCCACACCATGCATTTTCTAATGCACTTTTAAGAAAAATGGCTTGCAGGGAGTTGTCACATGGGGGGACCCTAAAGCTGTGACTCTCCCCACCTGCATTGGCACAGCCCGTTCTGCCACCACAGGATTCTACAAACCCCATTCTGCTGTTATGCACAGACCAGGCCTGAAACAAAGAGTGCTTGTACATCTTTACAAAATTTGTCCCCTCAAGGGGGTCTTCTCACTAACGGGATCGCCAGGACTTTTTTTGTAGAAAAAGCCCAGCAGGAACCCATTAGCATAATAGGCCACACCCAACAGCAGAAACTCATTAGCATATTAGGCCATGCCCTGACAGCACAGCACATTAGCATATTAGGCCACACACCCCATGTTACCAGAAGGCTGGTCATCCAGCCACACCCACCTTTTGCTTCTTATTCTGTTGACCTTGTTTGTGGTCAAAACCCAGGGCTTTTTTTTGTAGCAGGAACCCCTTTGCATGTTAGGCCACACACCCCTAATGTGGCCAATCCTAATGAGTTTCTACTGCTGGGTGTGGCCTATTATGCTAATGAGTTCCTGCTGGGCGTGGCCAACTTGGGAGTCAGCCGGAACTCCATTCCTGTGTGTTCCTGCCCAAAAATAGCCCTGGGGATCGCAGCCCAGTATCTCCAACATCCAAGCTCATTTCTCAGGACAGATAAAACACCTCATGATCCAGCGGACTTAACTTTCCCCTCTAACTCCCCTGTAGCTCATCAACTCATTTCCCCAGGCATTCCACCCTCCCATCTGTTCTCCGAGTCTGCCTTGTCATGTAAATTTCACTTAATTTTCCCGGTCATCAATCCAACAAGTAAAATTCACATACTGCTATATGACCATGTACATGTTTTTTTAAAGCTTGAGAAGGATGTACCATCTCTTAAGGAATGCCTCATAAAATACTGGGAAACATCCTCATGAGAGATTTCTTCAGCACCGCCGGCAGTCTGGAGCAAGCAGAAATGGTGACTCCATGGGTAAACCATACCAGAGTGGTAAGATGCTCAGGCTGAGGAACCAGGCCTGAATCGGCAGTTTTAAAGAAACAGGCAGAACCTGACGGGCCCCTTAAAGGATTTCTACTCCACTGCGTCTCTGACTCGCGAAGGCTTAGACCCTGAAGCTCTTGCTGGTCTCTAAGGTGCTAGGTAAAGGTAAAGGTTTCCCTTGCTCGAAAGCCAGTCGAATCCGACTCTAGGGATGTGGTGCTCATCTCCGTTTTCAAGCCGAAGAGCCAACACTGTCCAAAGACATTTCCGTGGTCATGTGGCCGGCATGACTAGACGCCGAGGTGCACGGAACGCTGTTACCTTCCCACCGAAGTGGTCCCTATTTATCTACTTTCAATTTCTTGCTTTCAAGCTGCTGGGTTGGCAGGAGCTGGGACCAGAGACGGGAGCTCACTCCGTCATGCGGCACTCGGGTCTCGAACTGCTGAACGACCAACCTTCCGGTCTGCACTTCAGCATCTTAACCACTTGACCCACCGCAGCCCCCTCTAAGGTGCTACTGGCCACTAATCTAACAGTTCTACTGCAGAACAACACAGCTACCCTCTAGCCTGAAAATGCCTGGCCCCTGTATCACCTGATCCCTTCTAGATGGTTAATTGTAATGACACCTCCTGGCCACACACTGTGGTGGCGCTACATGCCCTTTAGCAAGGGAAAGTACCTTTTTATACATAAATCTAACATTCCAGCCCCACTCTTCCAACGTTCCATCACACTACAGTGTGACCAAGAAACAGAAGGCTACGCACATGAAAACTTGCCTACTTTTCAGTGTCTGGGAGCATCAGGGACAGTGGGCAAGCTTGACCCCAACTCCTGGGGTGTCCCTGTGTACTCTGTGTAGATGCTACTGAGGTGGACTTGCTGAGACGGAGAGGGGAAAAGATCTTGGGGTCATGGTGGATAGCTCAATGAAAGTGTCAACCCAGTGTGCTGCAGTGGTGAAAAAGGCAAACTCTGTGTTAGGGATCATTAGAAAAGGGACTGAAAACAATATGGCCAATGTAATACCCATGTAAGGAGCTGGGGTGGCTCAAGTGGTTAAGACGCTGAACTGCAGGCTGTGGAAGGTCGGTAGTTCAGCAGTTCGAGACCCGGGTGCCGCAAGACGGAGTGAGCTCCCGTCTCTAGTTCCAGCTCCTGCCAACCTAGCAGTTCGAAAGCAAGAAATTGCAAGTAGATAAATAGGTACCGCTTCGGTGGGAAGGTAACAACGTTCCGTGTGCCTTGGTGTGTAGTCATGCCGGCCACATGACCACGGAAACGTCTTTGGACAGCGCTGGCTCTTCGGCTTTGAAACGGAGATGAGCACCACAACCCTAGAGTCGGACTCGACTGGCTTTCAAGCAAGGGAACTTTTAATACCCATGTAATACCTATGGCGTGGCCTCACTTGGAATACTGTGTACAATTCTGGTCAATGTATCTCAAAAAGGACACTGCAGAGCTGGGAAAAGTATAGAGGAGGGCAACCAAGATGATGAGGGGGTTGCAGCACCTTCCCTATGAGGAAAGGCTGAAGAGTCTGGGACTTTTCAGTTTAGAAAAGAGACAACTGAGGGCGGGGGACACGACAGAGGTTTTGGGTGGAGAGAGTTGCCAAAGAGAAAGGTTTCTCCCTCTCCCAAAACACTGGAACTTGAGGGCAACCAATGAAGCTGATGGGCAGTAGGTTTGGGACAATAGGAAATACAACTTTACACAGAGAGTGATTAAAACGTGAAATCCGCTCCCAGGGGACATAGTGATGGCCATAGGTACAGATAGCTTTAAAGGGGGATTAGACAGATTCATGGAGAAGTCCATCCGTGACAGCCAGCCATGGAGACTGAGGGGAACCTCCACATTTAGAGGCAGTCAATTTCTGAATCCCAGAGCAAGGAGGGAAGGCCTCAGCCTCTATGCCCTGTTGTTGGCCAACCAGCTCCTGGATGAGACAGGATGCTGGAACAGATGGACCATTGCTCTGATCCAGCAGGGCTCTTCTTGTGTTCTTATGTTCTCTCTCTTTATTTTTCCCCCTAACACCAAATGGATGCCACTCATTTCTATGGAAGTTATGAAGTCTTGCATTGGGGGAGACTGCTAGACTGATCTCAAAACTTCCTCTCTGCCCCAACGCTGGCAAACCAGACTCTGCTAACAGGTCAGGGCAATGTGTCTTTATGCGCCCAGCAGCTCTGAGAAGCACACAACACCTACAGCAGTTTGTATAGAGTCTTCATTTCCCCCCCACACACAAACCGCCCATTGTAGCAACTGGCATTTTGCTAGCAAACAACAACTTACAGAGTCTTCTGTGGAGTCAAAAAGAAAGGTTTCGCCATAAGGAGATATGGGGGGTGGTTTTTCCTCAGCAGAATCACCTTGCAAAACAAGCAAAAAGGAACAGTTGGTAGAGATCTGCACATAGATCACTCGATTTTTCTCACATTTGATAACCGGCAGATGGGAAAAAATTGGCAAAGCAGATTCCAGGGGTACGAAAGTGATACCTGCGACAGCTCATTCGCACATTCAAGTCATCAACGTACTGAGGAACGGGGACAAGTGGAGCAGTCTGAAAAGGTTTCGGGTTATCCTCCAGAATTATACAGACTTCTTTCCTATTAAAGGTTAAGGTAAAGGTTCCCTTGCTCGAAAGCCGGTCGAGTCCAACTCTAGGGTTGCGGTGCTCATCTCCCTTTCAAAGCCGAAGAGCCAGCGCTGTCCGAAGACGTTTCCGTGGTCATGTGGCCGGCATGACTAAACACCAAGGCGCACGGAACGCTGTTACATTCCCACCAAAGTGGTACCTATTTATCTACTTGCAATTTCTTGCTTTTGAACTGCTAGGTTGGCAGGAGCTGGAACTAGAGACAGGAGCTCACGCTGTCATGCGGCACACTCGGGTCTCGAACTGCTGAACTACCGACCTTCCACAGCCTGCAGTTCAGCGTCTTAACCACTTGAGCCACTGCAGCTTTTCTTTCCTTTCCTATTAGCCCTATCCAAATGCTGCTTCTTATTTATTTCAAGTTGACTAAAAACAGAATAAGCATACAAATGGCGTCAAGTTAAGCAGATGGACCTTTGGAGGAAGAAGGAAAAAAAGCAAACCCATAACGCCATATGTAGTTGGTCTCATACAAGTCCCTTGCAGTACACACGCTTTAATTTTAGAAAATAAATGTGTGCACACAAATGCTTCACCATGACATCCTTCTAAGTCAGCCTCAAAGTTGCAACTAACTTAAAATAAAACTTTCGCAAAGGCTCATGTTTCAACTCGACTGCCTCCACTTTCTCTGACTAATGGCAGTTTGTACTCTTCAGTGCGTTGTTGTTGTTGTTGTCTTTACTGTTTTATCAACCGGAGTCATAAACAGCAAACCCTTATCCCACAATAAACCTCGTTCCACAGGAAAACATGGAAGAATTCAAAGGCTGCTACAGCAAAAGTTGCCATGTGATTTGACAACAGTTGCTAGAAATTTTGCCACACAGAGAGTAGTTTCTTCATCTCTAAGTAAGCAGGATGATTTTGCTTCTGTAGAGAGGAAGTCCTGATAGCATAAAGGGGAGATCTGTTCATCTCTTAAGAGCTGAAAAATTGGGACTATCAAGCAAAATACGATCCACAGAGTCCATTTTACTGCTGCCACAATTACAGAGTCGATCTGAGTATGAAAATCCCAATAAATTTTCCTTACATCACAGCTTGAAGGCAGGGCACTGCTCTTATGTTCTAGGCAATGCATGGGCCAGCTAGGTGGGCTGTGTTTACTTTCTCCTGCAGACTGTCAAGGAGAAAGTTACACTTCTGTAAAGGTAAAGGTTCCCTTGCTCGAAAGCCAGTCGAGTCCGACTCTAGGGTTGCGGTGCTCATCTCCGTTTCAAAGCCGAAGAGCCAGCGCTGTCCGAAGACGTTTCCGTGGTCATGTGGCCGGCATGACTAAACACCAAGGAGCACGGAACGCTGTTCCCTTCCCACCGAAGTGGTACCTATTTATCTACTTGCAATTTCTTGCTTTCGAAACCTTGAGCCTAATCCAGTACTTGACTTGGAGCCAGTACAGCTGGAAAAACACTGGTGAAATATGTGCTCTCACTGGCGTCCCCATGAGGACCCAGGCCGCTGCATTCTGGACAAGCTGTAACTTCCGGATCAGTTTCAAGGGCAGCCCTGTGTAGAGTGCATTACAGTAGTCTAAGCCGAAGGTGACTGTTGAGTGGATTACTGTGGCTAAATTAGGGTGAGGGCAAGACAGGAAGGGGACTAGTTGCCTCATCTGGCACAGCTGGAGAAACGCCAGTCTGGTAACGTTTGTGACCTGGGCCTCCACAGATAGGGAGGCATCCAGGAAAACAACCAGGCTCTTGGTGGTTGGTACCAGTGTTAGAGGTACACTGTCAAGAGTTGGGAGTTGGCACCCCAATCCCACAGGGCCCCCACCCAGCCACTGAACCTCCATCTTTGAAGGATTCTGATTCAGCCGGCTCTGCTTCAACCACCCAGCTATAGCCTCCAGCCCTTTGGGCAAAACAGATGGGGCAGTATCCGGCCGGTCATCAACAGATAGAGCTGGGTGTCCCAGCCTGAAACTCCGCACCAGCTGGGCAATCAATGGAGCTTGTACACTGATGAAGGGGGAGGATGGTGACAGGTGCAGAGTGGGCAGAATGACGTTGATGTGGGCGGGGGAGTGGCCTTCGAGGGGCAGCAAAAAGGTGTGGGGGGGGATCCGAGGGAATCTGTATGCTTTTGAATTACCTTCGGCTTGGAAGCAAAAAAGGTAAAGGTAAAGGTTCCCTTGCTCGAAAGCCAGTCGAATCCGACTCTAGGGTTGCGGTGCTCATCTCCGTTTCAAAGACGAAGAGCCAGCGCTGTCCGAAGACATTTCCGGGGTCATGCGGCCGGCATGACTAAACACCAAGGTGCACGGAACGCTGTTCCCTTCCCACCGAAGCGGTACCTATTTATCTACTTGCAATTTCTTGCTTTTGAACTGCTAGGTTTGCAGGAGCTGGAACTAGAGATGGGAGCTCACTCTGTCATGCGGCACACTCGGGTCTCGAACTGCTGAACTACTGACCTTCCGCAGCCTGCAGTTCAGCGTCTTAACCACCTGAGCCACCGCAGCTCAAAACAAGGAGAAAAATCAGCACAAAAGCACACTCGGAAAACCGGAGGGAGCAGCGACCAGAAAGTGAACTGAGCACTGACGGGAGGAAAATCAATGGAGAATGAAAAAGAAAACCCAACTGGCGTGCACGGTGAAAGCAAGAGAAGACACCCATGCGCAATAGGCCAGGACTGCAGCTCTACCACATGTCTTTGCCAAAGGTCACAAGGAAGTGCCATAAGAATTCAACGCACAAATGTTTTTTTCTTAAAAAAAATATGCAACTATAGGGTGCCACTTGCTTCACCGCATACTTTCCTCTTTCCACTCCAGCATGGACCTCATTGTTCCTTGCAGAATACTGGCAGTTGCGAGCCATTATTATTTCTGGACAAAACACTTTTAAATCTAAGCATCAAAAGAACCAAGACTATGACCGCAGGGAGAGGGGGGGAAATAACCTTCAAAGCTGTCTCGTTGTTTCCAAGGTGCAAAGCAGGGAGGGGGAGGCTGTTTCATGATTTCTCAGTGCTCAAAGCTGCCCGTGAGGCTATTCTGTAAAGCAAAAAAACATGTGCCTGGACATGTGCAGGTATGTCTTTAATGGGCTTAAGCAAAAGTTCACTCCAAGGGATTGAGCAATGCTGTTTACTCACCTTCATAGAAGAAGGAACGCTATTAACACCTGCCCCACCATGGTGTCATTTTTTCAATTCAACAGCACAGCCAGGTTCCAAAGAGAAGAAGAAGAGACTGGATTTATACCCCCCCTTCACTGCACAAAGGAGTCTCAGAGCAGCTTACAGTCTCCTTTCCCTTCCCCTTCCCACAACAGAAACCATGTGAGGTAGGTGGGGCTGAGAGAGCTCTGTCGAGGACTGCTCGTGAGAGAACAGCTCTGAGAGAACTTGTAACTGACTCAAGGTCACCCAGTAGCTGCATGTGGAGATGTGGGGAATCAAACCCAGTTCTCCCAGATTAGAGTCCACACTCCTAACCACTACACCACACTGGCTCTCTTTACTTGCATCTCTACCCCCGCTGCATGGCTAACCACTTTTGAAAATGCAACCTCTCAACCGTGGTTTGTAAAGTTTGTGAAGTGGCAGGAGGGTTGGCTGTTTAAAGGCAAAAGAAAATGCATGTAGGACATGAATGTAGGACATGAATGGCATGTCTGGGGATGAACAGTGCCCTCCCCCATGTTGTGGAAGAGCTTCCCATTGGAAGCCTGCCACTTACTGTGATTTATGGCCTTCTACATTTTTGACACCATTTCCAGACTGCCCCCCCCCCGCCAGTCAGTTATTCTTCTGTTGCACTGACTGTTGTTGTTAGCACTAACTTAGGCAGATCATGAGAAGGAGGGCAGAAAGGGTTGAATCAGTGCTTAGTTCTTGTGACCCTTTCTTACACGCCCAGGGAAATGCTAATCGCCACTTTGGGGTCAGGAAGCAATTTTCCCCAAGCCAATTTGGCCAGGGATCCTGGAGGGTTTTTTGTCATCTTTTGGGCGTGGAACAGCAGTCACTGGGAGTGGGGGGGGGACGTATTTGCGAACTTCCTGCATTGTGCAGGGGGTTGGACTAGATGACCCTGGAGATCCCTTCCAACTCTATGATTCTGAGATTCTATGATTCTAATTTAATGACCACACAGATATTTTTTTGCAAGTTGCTGCAAATATTTCACAGAAAGGTGACAGTCAAATATTGGCTTGGGTCTAATGGAACATTTCTGCGAACAGACTTCCACCCACAGAGCGGCTTTTCTCGCCTTCCTCCTTCTGCTGCAGTCTAAAATGCCCCCTCCAAAATATTGCTCATTAGGGCACCCCAGAGCAACATTGGGGGGGAACCTTTGGGGCTACAGCAAAAAGGGAAGAGAAGCAAGTTGGCCTCCGTAGGCAGAAATCCTTCTGCTTGCAGAAAAACTCCAGTACATTCAAGCCTGTGTCTACGCATTCTGTGTGATGTTTGCAACAGCGTGAAGGGAAATGGTCAGCCAAAATGGTGCGCACAAATGCGCACGCACACCTGTTATGGCCCTCTCCTATTTGAGCCTCGGGCTCCTTGTTAAATATTTCCCCAATTGCTTCAATTACACTTTGCTCGGGGTACAATTAGATGCAGCAATGCCATAGCCTCTCTTAGAACGTCAGCCACGCTGAATTTATCAGATTGAAAAGCAGAAAAGCCTTGGAGGTTTGTACAAGCAGAAGTGTGACTCAGGTGCGTTTGCCGGCTGTCCCTACGGGGGCT